GATCTTTGAAAGCCTGCATTGGGGCATAGCTTAAAAATTTAGAGGTAACCTGTTAGCAATGGTAGGACATTACTGTGTTTATGGTATGGTACTTTTGTGAATTTTAGGGTACAGTTTGTTTTTTAAACTATGAGTAGGTGACATTTAGGCTCAATTTACATTGCGGCGGAACGGAATGGAACGGAAGCGTCAACTTCGCCTCGTTACGCGAGAAGGCGCGCGCGGTCGGTGGAATGCACGAGCATTTGTGCGACTGCGCCTTGGGGCTATAGTATTTCGTCGACGTTTGACGTCACACTGCGCCTGCCTCCGCGCCACTTTCCGCCGATGAGCGAGCATTCTCGAGCATGCGCGAGCATTCCGCGAAAGACGCGAGACGTGATTTTTGGCTCGTATCTAGTTTGTACGTTACACAGTTGACCATAAAGTTCATTACGCTATGTACAATACCGTTACAAAAATTCGATTCCATTCCGTTCCTTCGTAATATAAATTGAACCTAAGAAATATCATCAGATACTTGTACATTGCAGGGATGCAGCAATGATGACCATGCGTCGCAAGATAGCAGGCAAGTCTCCCGACCAAATACGTAAAATAAAGCAGTCAGAGCTCGAGGCACCGGTCACCAAAGAGGACTTGATGACAGCAATAGAAAAGACTCGCCGCACGGTGACCACCAACGATGTCGCCAGATATACGAACTGGATGCAAAAGCATGGATGTTCCTAGCGGCGCGCCCCAGCGCTTCAGGCGCTACTCCAACGGATGCGGGAATCCTGAGGAGCGTACAGAACAATCGACACGATCCCTTAATAGCACCAGCTCATCATTTTGCAGTGTTATATGAAAGTGCCGATTGATCCGAAAATCAGGACTATACTTATCGCAGTGCTGTTATTTTAAAGACGTGTATCGACTTTAAACATGAATTTTATGACAGACATGTACAATGCTTTCGTAGGTACGTTATGTGAATTTGGAGTTGCGTTTCAAGTGGACATTTTAATGTGAGTTTTATATCGAAATTATTCAAAGAGTATCATTTGAATTATGTGTAAAATATACTTCATTGTCTACCTGTAATGTTTAAGATCCATGGCATACTGTAGGCTTGTAGTTAACACAGTGTCATAATAACGTCAAACGTTTGCTAAAATTATAACCATTAGGTGTAAATCTACTGCTATTGCAATTTTTGAATAATTTGTCAAAAAAAATAATTTGCTTGGCCTATGGAAGCAAATCCAATATTTGACATAATTATGAACACTGTACACTTGTAGCTTTGATGGAATACTGGTATAATTAAATCTGCGATGCCTTACTTTGCAAGATTTGCCATGATTACCGTGGCTTGACGCACCCACTGTAACAATCAAGTAAATTATTACTTGCAAATAGCGGAAGCTTCGTAAATTTATAACTTAACTTACGAATCGATTGTCTTTTTTTCTAAAAATTAAGAGTAGGTTTGTATTTATTGATTTATTTATTGAAATGTAACGACTTGATCGCAGAGTCTATAGGAACTAAATTACTAATTGTTTAAAAATTTGACGTGTATTGTCTCTCGTTATTAGTTTCTTTACCAAAAGTTAATTGGTTTAATTCTTCACAAAGTATGATCAACGTGTTTTCTATCGTATTTATATCCACAGGTTAGCTATAGTTTTATTGTAATTATGGCCAGTGATATCACACATTGGCACAAAAGTAATCCTAAATTAAATTTAAACTCTACGTATGAGATAAGATTACAAACAAAAATTGTAAGTAGTATATAATATGCGACGTCTTATTTGGATAATTTTTTCAGGTTACTTTTTCTACCTAATTTCGGTAGCAATATTTATTATTTAAATACTTTAGAATATTATCTTGAAGTAAACATGATTTAATATTCGAGTGTAGTAACCTGACATATTATTTAATATTATTATTCTCGAATACTTAAGTATAATAAAAATTGTCATTGAAATTAGGTAGAGAAAACTAACATGAAAATTACCCAACTGTAGATTTTTTTACTTAGATGTAGTAAGTAATAATTATTACTTGAAATTTTTACTCGGAATGGGGTTAAATTTGTTTATTGAAAGAGGAATTATGAGAAAACGTTTTTACACGTTTTGTATATTGTTGGTGTTTTGCGTAAGAAAATTTTTCTGTGTATTAATTAAAATGTGAAGTCATGTAATCTCGAACTATAAATACCTGTACACATAAAATGATTAATAAATGTATAATGAATTTAGTACGATAGACTTTTATTAATCCAATAAAAACATTATATAACTACATAATGTCTTTAGACGTGAATATAATAAGGCCACAAATTGGTCCGGACAATAATTATACATTTTTTAAAACAATTGCACCAATTGAATTCAAAGCTTCTCTTATTTAAAGGCACTGATATGATAAATTATTATTTACAGACAAAAACAGCATGCTACCGAAACATAACGATGACAATGTCTTTGGCTGACAACGAGATAAAAATTGATAAAATAACAATAATAACAACAAAATCTCTTACAGTAACTTACGAATATACATTTTATACTTATGATACTGCTTATATACTTGTGTTACCATGCTTCTATTTTCTCAATGTCCCTCGGCAATCATCGGATTTCCGAATGCACACGAATATTAGTTTCCATGCCCATTAATTATTACATTTAAAATCTATAATAATTTGAATTTTGAACAACGTACTTTATTGTTGTTTTTTTTTTATTACTGTGTGAACTATATAGAGCTGTAAAACTATTTCCCTATTGTTAATAACATTTACTCCATGTTATTAAGCTAGTTAACAAAAATATAAAGCAAATAAAGTGTACTTTTTTTATATAACTAAAAATGAATACTTTTCCGATTATTAATGAAAAATACATAATTAACAATTACGTATTGTTCTTTCGTACCTTTTTAGGTAACTGAAAAGGAACTGACTTATCTACCGTGACCATGGGACCTGTAAAGGGCCCGAAACGTCGGTTTGTTTGAAAAAAACAAATATACGTGATTTAAATCCGGAAAAACAGTTTCAATTCCTATGTGTAACAATCGCGAAAACCTAAGAACTCGATAACTGACTTATTTTTTTGTCATATTCTTTTAAAATATTCTTCACTGCTCCGACTGAAACACCACAAGCTACAAAAACACGATTGTGGACTTTTTGAAAATAACCATTGTTGTCTTTCTTGAACGTATCGGCTGCTCGTAAAAATACATGTAGGTACATACTGTAAATTATTTGTCTTGCTTGTGACTTTAGCGGCTTTCCTCCTATTGTATAATAAATAAAAAATGTAATAGCAACTCTATATACTTCCAAGTCGACTGAGAGCATCCGATCTGTACCAAAGGCAAAGGGCAATTGAATAAAACCCGACTACAGCCGAAAGACGAAGTTTGATTGAGAAAATAGTAGCGCTGTACATATATATTATATTCAACTAAAATTTTAAAAATATCATAATTCATTCCGATTTCCTTGAAGTAATATCACAACATGATTTTTTGGTATCTATCACAAAATAGATCCGTTCCGTTATTACACTTCATTAACCAAAATGCATTTCAACAAACTGTTTTAGGGTATATAAGTTTTAACAACCAATTAAAATAATTTGAATCACTTCAATGTCATGTTGAACAGCTTATACACGCTCAATATTTTGCCATATAGTACTTATTATCAAATTTTATGTAGAAATATTTAATCTTACGTAATAAGAACGATCATTGACAGCGGCGCAAAAACTTAGGCGCATAATACAAATTGTCTATAGCACAGAAATGTCACTAGGCAATAAAAAAAGATTTAGCGTAAAGACTGTCGTAATGTTTTTGTTTATCTCAGGAGAAAAGATAAACCCGTTTATTAAGAAAGAATAAAGCTGACCTTTGGAGTTCACTATTGATTGATGTTATTTCACCCACAAAACGACGTTGCGTCGTGTACTAGTTGGACAGAGAGACAATGTCTAATATCATACGGTTTTCTTTTGGAAATTCCAGAGGTTCAGTGGGAACTACACAAGGCATAGTAGAAGAATTATATCGAATAAGTCCACAATTTAAACGCACGCAAAGTACGTAATATGAATTAAATGAATGACAAAGGGAATCACTCTGGTGGTCTTCCATTATTCTCCTTAAGTTGTTCTTTAAGTCGAGCTTTGCTGTCTTCTTCGTCGTTCTCTAGTATGGCGGCGAAAGAAAACGGAGTGAAGAGGTAACCTTGACCGTCATAGAACTTGCTCATGAACTCCACCCTGAAAATTAAAATGAAAATACTTAAGTATACTTGTTTTAATATATTTGATGTAACACCAAAATTGAACTAAACAATTGAAGGTGGATATTTATTAATTCTTAGAAAGATAAGTTATACCATCATCATCAACCCATTTATACATCCCATTGTTGGACACGAGCCTCGTATCAGGCGAGGGTTTAGGTCATAGTCCTTCACGCTGCTAACACAATGCGAGTTGGCGACTTCACACGTTTTCCGAGGATTGTGAACCTTCTTCGACGTTTTATCATGTTTTCCTTCACCGAAAAGCTCTTAGTAAATTTCAAAATCAAAATTACGACAGTGTGTCAGAAATAAATACTGTGTCAGACAAACGAATATGAAATAATAGGCATAGTTTTTATTGTAACCTTAAAATAAGTAAAAAAGACGTTATCGATGCGTAGAGAAAGAAGCTATGTCTGCTCAAATTCTAGAAGCTACTTTTCTCAACCGACATGCATGAAAATTGAAAGTAGCATAAAAATACAATTCTACGGGTCGCAATGAAGCTCTTCTGTGATCTGAGGTAACTAAGGTTAACGGTCATCATGTTAAGTGTATGGGGAAAAATATTAATTGTGAAATTTTGGGCGCGTAAATGCTCCGAACTATTAAAAAAAAGAAAGAATCGATACTCCGCCTAGTATTTTTTAACTCGAGGAGTATAGTAAATGTGTCACTGCTGATTGTATGTACATTCTTGCATAAATACAAGTAGACAGAGCGTCGCGGATATGAGACACGTAGGGAAAGCACGTTAAATATTGTAGATAGAATATTTTGGTTCATGGAGACATTATTTTATTTTTAAAAAAAAGCGATAGCTACTGCATTTTTTCAATTCCTTGCCTCTTCTGGAAATCGATCCGACCAAAAGTAAAAAAGTACCTGTATTTTCATGATGCTGATTAAAAGGGTCGATTATAAGGATTCATTCCTCATAAGTAACTTAGTTCGTTATTTAATTCCTTTCATGGGGTTCCTCCCATGAAATTTTTATTTAAATTTAGGAAAATCAATTATAATACGTATTTACGAATATACAAATCAATTATAATACATATAAACCAATCAATAAATATAAAACCAATTGTAATAAGTATTTGAAAAACATAGGCAGTACGAAGTTTGTTTCTTTTTTTAATTAATTGTATTATTATATGAACGGTGTTTCTTTAAATTAAGATAGAGAGCCTATCTACCTATAATACCTACCTATCAAAAGGGTCAATTCATAATTGATCCTTTTGTTAGGTAGGTATTATGAAAACATTGGTTGATTTTTTTTAACATTAAATTTGGTCGGCTCGATTTCCTAAAGAGACATGCAACCGTTTAAGCATTGGAATGTAAAAAGTAAGAAATACTTCTTAGTTTTAAAAATAAAATAATATCTCCATGAAGCAAAATGTCATATGGATGCCTTACTTTCTCAACACATATCTTATAAAGAGTGATTATGCGGGGAGATGGCAAAACTTTCTATTTATTTTAAATTTTCTTATCAAGGGTGTTAATTTGGATGCATTACTTTGAGAATGGGTAAAAGCCTGTGTATGAAATCAGAGAAGTCTGAATATGAAGGAAATGTGATGTGAAATCAGCCTGCAAAATTTGTATATACAATGCATTTTTTGTAATTCAGTTACTTTGTGCTTTAAGATACGAGTTTGAGAAAGTAAGGCGACGATATCTACAACACATAAAATACTTTCCCTCCGTGTTCGATGTTCGGATCGATGCAAGTAAATAATTGAAATTACATTTTATTTGTGGCCTTTCGCAATACACACACCTAAATTAGGTCATTGCTTTCGTTAACAGCCGAACGCAATTAGCGTGACTATAATTAGCATCTATAATGACGTCAAATCCGACATTTAGTGTGTTACCACGACATTCGTCTTAACGGGAGTATTGTTAGGTTAATTTTAGTTTCGTAGACAAGCTCGGAATAAACCGAGCGATAAAAAAACGCGCGTTTTAAAAATAAACCCTTCGTGGTATGTATCAATTTGTGTCAATTAAATGACGAGTAATCGAGTGGAACGTTTCTAGTTAGACATAGTTTGGCTTGACCAGCAGCTTAGTTCCTTGGAAAATTGACCGTACATGTGTCGTGCTTGTAACGATAGTCACTTTTGCTTCAACTGTGTGAATTTATTTAAAGCATTTTTGTACTGTCAGTTTCGCGACTCATCGTTTCTTAGTCTAATTCATATGCCTAAAATGGACACCATAATCTAGTATGTAATTACAGAATTCATGAGTGATACAAAAAGTTAAGTTAGTTAGTAAGTTTAAGTTACAGTTTCAATCTCTTTAGACGCACTCACCAGTGTAACCGTAATGTGTGCAAGAAGGCGGAAAGTCCTTCCATCAGTACCAAAATTGCGAGTGTAAAGAAAGCCCATACGCCGAATATTACGTACAACACTATAGCGTCAGCTGCTGATCTTCCGCTGAGGCCCATTTTGAGGACCCGTTGCCAAAGGACGGCTGATAACTCTGTAAAAGACGTTTGAAATTCCATTTATTTGTTACAAATCGATGCCTTGACACAGTAACGCAGTATTGTAGAATATTATGATTTTGAACTAAACATATAGCGACCAGTAGAGCAAGCGAAACTATATTGCGAATAAAGCACGCATCTTCTTATTTATAAATAAATTGTCTCAAGAAGAAGGGTGTTTTATTCACGATATATCACGGAAACACACGGTATATCATCCCTTTAAGTTATATTGGTCTCATAATAAATTCAGTAGGTACTATGATTGACTAGTAGGAGTCAATGTCAATTTTAGAATCATACCACTTTCGTCCCAATAGTTATAAGAAAGAAAATGGAGGTAAGGTAATAAAACATTCATGGACTTACGTGCATGAGCAAGAGACAATGCCCAAAGACGCAAATATGATGCTGTATGGGACACCGTTCCCAGTACATATTCAATTGTATGTATGGCTTGTGTGATCAATAACTCGCCCATGGCTTCTGAGTTGTGAGTATTTGCAACTTCAGTTGTATCTCCGCTTTCGACGCCTTGCCGGTATTGCTGTGAGAGAAAACTGCTTTCAAATTTCAGAAAATAATTGGTCTGTTCTACAATTACCACAATGTTTCTTGGAAACAAATCGTACGTACGTAATCATACTTGGAATTAATATCCAAGACAAATTCAGTTATTTGTTAACAAATAGAATGACTGACTGCGCTTTAAAATAGTTCTATTATTTATATGTAAAGAACGCTATAAAATTATTCGCACATTTCCAAATTATTTTTATGTTACACATTTTATTTTCGGATTTAAATTGCGTACATTTTTAGATACGAAAAAATAGTTTCATTATCAAAGAATTTTACCTTTCGTTTTCTTTTCTCCCAAACCATGTAAATGGGTTTCCCGAATAACATAACGGGAACGCAAAGGAAAGCAAAGGCAAGGAAGGTTTTCTGTAACGTTTCTTGTCCATCATACATGTATTCTTTACAGGACTCTTTGACTGTAGACTTTTTCATTAGCATCATGTTGATGAAAAGGATCAGCACTGAAGGAGCGCAAGACGTGCCATACGCGACGTCTGTAGGACAGAAGACATTGGGAGAATGTTGTAGTTAGTGTATAAAACGTATGAAATAAAATATTGAGGCTCTAATCCACTCTTAATTAAAGAAATTCGCTAAAGCTTTTTGACACATTTCAATTGGAAAATGACAAATCATAAAACATGTTTCTTAGAACCATTAGAACAAAGTTATTGGGAACTTATGTCCAGTGTGTGCGGTATTTTTATTGTCATTACTTGCACAAATATAAGTATGTCTGAAACCAATGCTTAAATTGATAAGACACTCTTAACACAATGTATGAAGAGTGTCTTTTGCATTGCAAGCATTGGTTTAGACCGTACTTTTTATGGGTGCTATGGACACACACATTAACAACCACAAATTACACTCAAACTCACAGGAGAATTAAATGTAGGCCATAAAAATATTTCTCCCGGCCCGGGAATCGTACTTGGGACTTCTGCATGGCAGAGGTATAATTTTAATGCAAGCGGACATAAAGGTTTATTTCTAGACTTATAATAAACGATGTTGTTTCTCCTGCGTATTATCTCTCTGAGACCAAAATTCGCAGTTACGTTATCTATGATTGAAATTTTTATAAAGTACCTACGCAAAAAAAACAGTAGCTCCAAAAACTTATGAAACAACTTACCTACGCCCAAATCCGCTGAATACATGATCCACTTCATAAACATAAGAATACACAAATACCAGAACAAAAGCAACAGGAACAAAATTTGTGGTATGTACTGTAAGAATATCAACTCCGGTTTCTTGAAATAGCTAAAAAAACATTAATTAGATTACAAAAGATTGTCTTTAAAATACGGGTAAATTCTACGTAGTCTAATTCTATGAATACAGTAATTACTTGAAGTTTACCACACTCATTGTCACACCGAAGGCCATGTGTATTACACCGAAAATAATCGACAGTTTCATCTTGAACGAGTTCAGATATATTATGTTATTTTCTGCAAACTGAAATAGAAAGAAAATGTTTTAAAAATAATTTTTTAACATCACTTCTGCATGATAATGAAGTATTTTCTTTTGTGATACCAAGTGGCGGGATGAATAAGTTGTGCGCCTGGTGCTAAACGACACACCTTTCCATAATAGTTGCAGTGCCACTTAGAGCTTTAAATTGCAAAGATCTAAGGGATACTGCCACTGCACCTGTCACCCTGAGAGCCCTGAGACACAAGTTGACAAGTCCCTATATGCCTATAATTTCACCAGCACCTTTAAAATCGGAACGCCGTAACGTTCAGATTACTGCTGGGCTGTAGAAATAGGTAGAGTGATAGTACTTCCCTGAACGAACTTAATCTTTATTGTAATGCTAAAATAAAGTAATACATTTCACCTGCCAAACGGGGTCAATTCCCAACGGGTATGGACTGCCTGTATAATCATAGGTTGGATTCAAGATTAAAGACGAATGATTCCCTAATACGCTAGTATCATGCGAATGTGTCCAAGTGCTGCCAAATATGTTCAGGGATTTGGAAAACATGTCATTGTATATTAATCCCGTATACATTGAGAATATCCCCATGAGCAGTATGATGTAGCGTCCTCCAAAAAAGATGTTCCACACTTCGTTGTCTGATTTCTCTTTAAGGAATTTCTTTTCGTAGAAGACGACGATGGAGGCAAAAGTTGTCATGATGATTCCATGGCCAAGATCACCGAACATTACAGCGAAGAGAAATGGGAATGTTATTATTGTATAAAGTGCTGAAAAGGAAAAAAATACAAATAATTCAAGTTCTTGGAAAAATAAAAATTTAAGGTTTCTTTGAAGACTTAACATATGATACCACAATACCTGGATTGACTTCTCTGTAGGTAGCGATTCCATAGGAATCAATGAGGTTCTGGAAGCCCTTAGTGAACTTGTTGGTTCTATTGAATGTTGGCGGTGTTTCCCTTGTAGGTACATAGTGTAAAATTGACGGTATTGGACTGCCACTAGCCTTCTGTAATAATGATAATGGCGTTAGACAACTACACCAATAATCTGGTCTCAAATTAAGATATACCCAGTACTTTGAGTACCAGAGCTTCAAAATTAACTCCGAGGCTCTCTCTAACTCTGGTTACAAGTTCGTTTCCGAATCGATCCTACAGAGAATTGAACCCGGGATTTCCTCATCTAGCACCCACAGTGCTAACTGCTGGGCCACTGAGGTCGTCACAGATAACAGTTGACTGATAAGTCTTTCATATCCATTTTCTTAACCGATTACAAAAAAGAAGAAAATTTTTTAGGTTTTAATTCCATAAAATTACCATTGAATTTAAGTTTTTACTTTTTTCGTAGTCTGAAACAATTAATTGCACACGAAAATATACTATTCGGATACGTACCACTCCATTATCTAATGCTTTCTGTACGATTGTTATATCTTCCTTTGGTACCCAACATTCAGCTATCAGGCATTTCTTAACTATGTCCATACTGAACATATTTAGTGTGTGATAGATAGCCTTTTCTTTTCGTACGGCCATCATCCATGTGCTGAAGTCTTTGGCAATGTTTGCTAAAACTAGACGCCTGTGGTGTTCTGTTTGTTCTAGAACCTGAAAATAAGTTAAACATTCATTATTAATACAAAGAAAAATTCCTTTGACCTAGTAGGACTCGAACCATGTGTCTGTGTCAAATCAGAGCCACCGCTCTACCAACTGAGCTACAAATCGAGTCAGTAGATCTTAAAATTTTTTCTAAGTGTTTGTTATCGTGCTACCTCTTGCATCATCATCCCACCTTTTTATCACCGTTTTCTCTGGTTCCTGGCCACTTACTTTTGAAATTTTGAATCGTTCTCCAATAACTCTTTTTCCTCGCCATTCTTACTTTGCTTTTAAAACAAACTAGCTCCCATCAAAATTCACGAGGAGAATAGACGTGTCCCTTCAATTACGTAGACCTAACCCCATCAAAATTCTCAAACCAACAACAAGTGCTTTTCTGTAGTAAATGTATATTTTAGTCTTATGTAAGTTTTATAACAATGTAACCTGTTTGTGCACATACTTCACACACATTTTTGTGGTCAAAATGTCGAACACAAAAATGTGTGTGAAGTCTCACATCAGTCTCTTCATATATGGCTTTGTATTCTAATCTTTTAATCTGGTTTTTTTAAGTATATTCCCAATCTAATCAAGACGTGGACGTCGTAGTCTGGTCTACCTCTGTCCCCATTCGTTCTTATCTTTGGGAAATTTATTCAAGAATTTAAATCAGTATAGGGACTATGCAATATATATTTTATTGAATATCATTATTTTATTAAAAACATCATGATATTTAATCAATTATATTAATTGCAATATTTGGGCGCCACCTGTGAAAAAGTTATGAAATTTTTTTCGTGGAATACCACGATATTATATTTTTTGTTATAAAAATACTCCGCATGTTATTATTACTAATTACAAAGATCGAATAAACACAAAAAAATCCTTGAACAAACTTTCATTGCACAGGTGACACCTAATAATTGCAATCAATGTAGCGACATCTGGTAGCTGTAAAGGTACCTGGCTGAGTGAATAACTTTCATAAATGTCTCACAGGTGGTGCTACGACAAAAAGCCGTTTAAACCAAATTCAAAGATCAGGGACTCGATCTTGTAGCTCAGTTGGTGAAGCAAAAAGCACTGCTGCGAGTCCAGTTGAATAGAAGGAAGCTTTCTTTGTGTTTGTTTGATATTTTTATCAATAATAATAGCGACGATTAATTTAAGATATATTACCATTTCCAAGTCTTTGATCCTGCACACGACTCCCGCCAACATTTCCTGTTGTTCTTTGTATGTGGCTGGGCAAGGATATAGTGTTGCTTTGAATCCATGACACACTTTCTTCACGCGCATTTTGATTTGTTCACCGTGGAAGAAAACCACAAATACTGTCTTTTGTAGCGGATGACCCTGAAACAATATGTTAAAACGTCCTAAGTTGACTCACCTTTTCACTTTATAACTTCTTGAAATATTTGAAAGACATATCTTTGACAGGATTAAAGGCTTCATAATCAAAAGTGCTTTATTCTGTTTAATATGGTTGTAAAAATGGATTATAAGCTGTTTACTTTTTTATAATAGTCTCGGTGTGAACTCGATAGAAGTAAAAAAAAATCGGAATGTAAGAATTAATGTAACGATTCTGTTGTGCTCACACTCCTTCAAGTGAAAACAGTAAAATAATGAATGAGTAATGAACCGGCATGACCTTTGACGCAATATGCACTCCCGCATATTGTATAGATTACCAAGGCTGTTCAAATGTTGTGTGGAAGTGCCTGAAAGTCTTAGAAACCTTGACTGTCTAGGCCTTGCTGTTTGAAGGTTGTATTTAAGCATTATACAGTGCTTCTATTTCCTCTACGTCTCTCGTCTATCATCGGATTTCCGAATGCACACGAATATTAATTTCCATGCCCATTAATTATTACATTTAAAATCTATAGTAATTTGAATTTTGATCAAACTATATTATTGTTGTTTGGTTTTGATTTCCATGTGAACTGTATAGAGCTGTAAAACTATTTCCCTATTTTTAATACCATTTACTCCTTGTTAATAAGCAAGTTAACCAAAGTATAAAGTAAATAAAGTGTGCTTCTTTTGTATAACTAAAAATTAATATTTTCCCGGTTATTAATAACTTCAATTCAGTCTGTATCTGAATGCATTTCTTTTTTCATGTTTTCAAGTTGAAAATAATAATTTTTGTCTTTCTTGAACGTATCTGCTTCTTGTAAAAAATATAAATACCTACACCCTGTAAATTATCTGTCGTGGCTGTGATTTTAGAGGCTTTCCGCCCATTGTATAATAATAATAAATAAAAAATGTAATAGCAACTCTATATACTTCCAAAGGGCAACTGCATAAAACCCAACGACAGCCGAAATACGAAGATTGCCGAGGGATATGGAGAAAATAGAAGCGCTGCACAATAATTACAATACAATACAACGATAAATTTGCCACACGGAAGCAATCATATATGTAGTTTAGTAGTTAGGTATTATCGTTTATTTGACTTAGTTTCATTTGACTCACCTCATAAGCAAACACTAATAGTTTACAAAGTCGGCAAACGGTGGTAGTAAAAATAACAATAAGGCCGTCCTGATTGATATGGCACGTATGGTTCGCCGGTTCTTGAACCTGGGTCCCTGACCCCAGTTGACTGTAACATTGTCGGGAAAATGTCTCTCCCATTTAAAAATTCAAAATTAACCTTTTAGGCCATGGGAGAGGCGAGAATCTAAAATAGATATCCATAAAAATAATGTTATGCATTCGAGCACGGTATGTAGTCTGTGCATTCGAGGGTTACTATACGCGTCTAACCTGCGTCAAAATGTATACCAAAGATGTAAAACATAGAAAAATATGAAGAGGTTTTTTAACAGACATTAACTTTATTATGACAGAAGATCTAACCACAGAATATGTATACTCCTATAAGTAGCGTGTTATGTGTTCAGAAGTATTTGGAATGAACGTATTTTCACCTTTGCACCTGGGGTGGCTTTGCTATAAAGTATTCTTTTACAAAGGCGGCGGCAAAGGAAAATCAATAACACCGGAGGTTAATGTCCGTCAAACACTTGCTAGTTTCTCGTAAGTGTACGTGATGATAGTTTATAGAACTGTTATTATTGTTGAGTTTTTAGAGTATTTATTTCCCTGTTACCGGAGTTCATAATTATATTGATAGAAGGTAAGAGAAACTCGTACAAAGGAATAAGCTATTTAAAACATTTCATAACCATACTTAAAAAAGGTATAAAGGAACTTTGGAATGTAGGGTTAGTAGTTGGATTAATACCCATGTTCCGATACAAGTCTGCTGTGTAGTAGCAAAGGGATTTAGTTAAGCTAAGGGTATAAGTTCCAATACTTTAAATTCTTGTTATCAAAATTAAAACTTATGTATTTTCTCGAAACTATAAATAAGTTTGCACAGATTTAAAAGGAGAAGGAGGTACGATACATTAGAAAAATTTACAAACTTATTTGTAAAATACAACCTCCAAGGACTATATATATATAAACAACAATTTTTTATTCATGTCTTTTAATGATTCATCAGATTGACTTTCGTTCAAAAATATAAAAATTTTAAAAAGATCTATACGGTGATAAGGGCTCGGATAAATATGCAGTATAAAGTACAAAATAAGTGATATGGGCAAAAAATCTTAAAATATGAAAAAAAGTAGATAAAAAAGCAACTGTTTTCACATAGACTACGCTTTATTATAAAAACAAAATCGACAAATTTTATTCCATTTCAATCTAATTTTCGGTACTGTTATTGTTACAATACACAATCACAACATGTCTTTTTAAATTCTCAAAATTAAAATTCTGTCTGCTTGGTCGGAACAACGCTTTGTACTGGCTGAATGACCTTTCGACGTTACAGGATGTGACTAGGACAAACTTAAATTTGCACAATTATTTATGTAGAAAACATATTAAAGAACGTCTATTATTGAAATCTAAAATATGTAATTACATATTAATCCAGGCTCTTTAAGTTATCTCTGTACGGTAGCAAAAGAAAGCACGCGGGAGGCGTAGCTAGACAAGTCACTACCTAATACAGATCCAAAAATGTCAGACAGTATAACAAAAAAGTTTGTGTTTGGCAAATTTATTATATTTTGTAGATGTTGGTAATATAGTCCTGCGAGATTGTTAGTATTTTACAAATAACCCTGTAATAGTAATTTGAGTAATGGCCATGGGATCATATAAAACGATTCCCGTGATCTTTCCTACCTGGCAGTAGGCATTAAAAGCAATAAAAATATCTTCTATTATCGGCTCACTTCTTCAAATATCCTTTCGCCACTGTTGGATACATAGACATCTAATCCGTCACTTTTTCAAAAATTGTGGTGACACGTTGTATTTACAGTACAGATTCAACACTAAATGCGGGGCGTTTACATGTCGACGCGGAAGTTGAGTTTCAAAAATATTAAGAGACCCATATACAGTCTGTGCCTTTCGAGCCTTAATGAGTCAGTTCGAAATTAACTACCACATGAACAATGATCTTTAAAATCGTTTTACGGTATAAACTCATTTTCATATTATAAATTCATTATATATAAATTCATTCCTTATTGTTTTGAATTTGATCACTTTAATTCTGAAGGTGCGTTAAATGCTTTTGTTTTAAAATCTTAGCAGTTACCACTTTTTTCCATGAGTTATACTCATTAACTGTGATTGTTCACCCGTACTTATACATGGACGATACATAGATTTAAGCTGATCATATTTGACAATAAACAAGCTTAAAAGTAGGTAAGTAAGAAATTATTAATTTTAACCTATTGGTTTCGCTTGATAAACTTTAAAATAGTTTTTTGGTAGTTTGGTTAATTTTGGAAAGATGCAATTCATACGGTGAAAAGGAGTTACGACAATGGCAACGGCTGGTATTCATCTAATGTAGGAATTGTTAACTTTGAAACTTTTGTAGCTTTGAATCTGTAACGTGCACAAGGTGGTAATACAAAGGCCCAATATAATGCTGGAGACTGTACTGTTGGTAACAAAACAGTTTAGTAACGAAATAAAACTTAGTATTACCGAATTTTATTTCTCTATATCAATAATAGGCTCAATCAAGCTTTGACTTTGACCTTTCGACAGTTCTTATCACAAGCGGCAAGTTTGAATCTTAAGTGTCAATTTTTTCCTGTTTTTGGGCTTCCCAGCTGGAGTATGGTACGACCCCTTTCTTATCGGGTGAATGATAAAATATAATGATGGTAAACATTGATAATTAAAGCGGGGCAAGTATGAGTTAACTGTATTATAATACTTACAGAATTAGGATCCTTGAAAGGTTCATCAATTTGAGCTTGTTTGAAGAAAATGTTCCCGTGGGATATCCGCCAGAGCATCTTCTCGAAAGCAGGGACCCTCGCTGTGGCGACTACGCCGGCAATGAAACCGAGATGAGCGTACACTGCGTCGTTGTTTTGCTATAAATATGAATTAAGAAATGTATTGTGACCCAATTTTGATGGTTCTTTTTTTGTTGGGAAGGGGGTACCTAAGTAATGGTCCTAAACAGCGTGTACCGCTTCTGGTACCGCTTGGAATGTTCAGTAGGATTGCAATGTAGCCAGGAGTGTAGTTCAAATTAAATTTAAAAAAATTCAAAAATTCAAATTCAAAATCGTAAAAGAAATAGTTTATAAATATTATTCCCGTTTTATTAATATTTGTGATCATTATAATGTTTATCGCACAAGAGATTTTTGATAACTGGTAAACGGTTCAAAAAATTTACGAGAAAACGTGTTCGCTGCCGCGATCGGGCAGCAAGTGACGGTGGAACAAAACAAAATCAGAATGGCGAGGCAAAGGAATTAAAGAAAGATTCAAAATTTAAAAACGAGTGGCCAGGAACCGGAGAAAAGGCGATAAAAAGGTGGAATGACGATGTAAGGTTGTTTTTCTATGAAGTACTTTTTCCAATTTTTATTGTTTTTTGTTATCTTTCTAGTAAACTAAACTTGTTTGTAGAGGTTGTGTGGCACAAACATTTTTTTAAACAGTAAAGATTAGTTATTTCGTTAATTAATACAGGTTACTTAGGATTTTGATAATTTTTCTTAAAGAGTCGAACAGTAACAGGAGAGTGGAACAATCTTATAAAGCGTAACTAAATAGACAAAGAGCTACTTACTTACTTAAAAGGGTGCATGTAACACCCTTTTAGATAATAAAGACTAAGACAAAAATTTTACCTACATACGGGTTTATTCCTTATTTAAATTAGAGGTATCTAAAGTTTCGTTTAGCCAGAGATAAACATTTACAAATGGAGGCTTTAAAAATGCAATAGGCATTTGAGATTTCTAGTTTATAAATAACATTCTAAGCAAACACTTACACGCACTTCATGCCCTTATATTGGTGAAGGCAGAAATTATAACTTTACCTTGCTACGATTCAGACACACTTCTTTCATATAACTTTCATTATTATATCGAGCGACTAAGTACGAATACGGGTTGGCACGTATGAGTTTTTCGGAATTTTAACGCGAAATTTAATTTGAAATTTACTTCGAGGTTTTCGGTGATGAAAAACATCGTGAGGAAACCTTCACGCATCTGCAAATTTATGATGTTTGTGTGTGAAGTTCCCAATCACCATTGGGCCGCGCAGCGCAGTAGTGGGATAATATAGGCTAACTATTATTATTATATTATATATAATTAAAGGTTTGGAATTACAACGTTATTTTTAACTTTGTTTCATATTTAGCTTAACTTGCAATTAATTATTAAATTATGTTTCAGGTTTATAAATAAAGTGTAGTTTATTTTAAACTATAACTTAAATCTGCCGTCCACTGACAAACGTGGCTAAATGACAAATGGTCAAATGTCCATTTTAAATAGAAAAAGTTAGAGCACAAAATTCTCTTTTAAAACATTAAAAATTAGTTAACGTGTTCGACTTATCGAAACTTGCACTAACGATGCATAGCTGAAATATCATTAGACAATTTCAATATTTTTACTTATTAGTCGCGTTTTAGTTGCGGATGGCGGAAATGCTTCAAAGACTTGGCTAACCGTATGTTTTGCAGAATCCCGCATTCTTTTGTTTTGCAGTCTTTGTTTTGCAGAATGCGTTTTACCAACTACATTTTTGCAATTGGTTGAGCGAGCTTTTAAACTCTATCGACTTTTTAACCGACTTCAAAACAAGGAGGAGGTATCAATTCGACTGTATTTTCTTCTTTTTTTATGTATGTATGTATGTATGTTACGCGTAACTCTTTTTTATCTTTGACATTTGTGAATCGATTTTGAAGATTATTATTTTGTTGGAAAGAGGGTGCCTCAGTAGCAGTCCCATTTAAATTTGAAGAAAATATTCCACCTCTAAGGGTGGCAAATTAGAAGATTAATCCGGATTCGCGCACGTTCAAATAAACCTTGGCAAATAGATGCAATTCCACGAACTTTGGAGGTCGGTTTTTTTAGCACTCTGTACTGAGATTATTGACACGACTGTTTAGGTATTGTCAGTAGAAGACATTTTACCTTGGCAAGAATTAAAATATAATTCTACCGGATGTCTAAACTGCCTTTAACTTTAACTGTTTGGGAAACCGTGTGTTTTAAGGACTCGTGACACGTTAAAGGTAGTTTAGGCATCATGTACAACTTCTCATTATTTTTTTACTAGTATCTAACCTGTACTGAAGCAGAGATTTTCCTGTGCGCTCCATGGTCCTGGAAGAAGGTCTGTGTTTTTTCTATTAGCAGCTTCAGCTCGTTTAAGGCCAGGTAGTCAGATTTAAGGTTCCGTGCGTTGCGTGTGATCTCTTGAATCTCCGATTCTATGTAATCAATTCTTTCCTGGAATTGCAAAGCATGTTTTTGTTACTGCCCCGACATAAATATAGGTAAAAGGCAATATAAAAGCATGGAATAAAATTTGTAGAGTTTATCATTTGTCTGGTAAACCTATGTTAGACTATTTATAGTTAATCGATGACTTTTTTGCCACCACAAAATTAGCCGGTAATGGCAGACGCCACTAAGAAGTTACGTTTGACACTACCGGTGCCAAGCGCAATACAATTTGGTTACGTCTGCCCCGGGACAGTGGCAGATGTAACCAAAATACTTCATTCTGCCATCTCCACGTTTGATCCGCCACGCGCAAGTAATTGTGTATAATTACTGCTGTTGCTAACCCAAATTAAATGTTGGACTGAAAAATAATTTATGTGTCGTTTTTCATAGCTGTTTATCATAACATTGGACGAGTACCAGATTGTGCAAAATTTGGAAAAAAAAGCTAAATAATTTTAAAATCTTAGTAAGTCTTTATAATAGTTGTCTAACTTGAGTTCTGCGTTAATTTTTAGACTTAGTAACAAGTAAAAAAAGCATTTTGGCTGTTATTTTTTGAATAAAACCATTTTTTTTTTAATAATTAATTACACAAGTACCAATATTTGAAAACCAGAGACTTTAAATAAGAAGAAATAAATTAAAACAATCATGATATTTATCACGTTATTTATCTTGACAACCTTTTTTTTTTTTTTTTTTGACAACCTGACTTAACAATGATAATTTTTGTGTTGTTATATCAAAATTAGAGTAATTATTAAGTAACTACTTAACTAGTGTCAGATCGTGTATACAACTTAGTAATAAAAAGGTACCGGATAGAAAATAAGCCGGCTTATAAATTTTTCATTTCTGGGTGAGATTGAGCAGATGAGATTATAAGTTCTGAACCAGAGTGTCTTTCCAATTTCTTTAATTGTATAGCCTGCTTTGTTTATCTTCAGTACGCTATAGTTCATTAATTAACTTACCTCTAATATATTAATCTCTCGAGGGGTGAGACTGTGTGGCGCTGACTTTGCAGGAGGAGGAGGCTCCGGAAGTTCTCCCCCCACCCAGCGCAGCTTGCGCTCCATCTCGCTGCATCTTCGTACTTCAGTTACGTATCGTCTTTGAAAGTCATTTACGTGGGGATTTAGCTGTGGAAAAAGAGTGTTTATATATCATCTACTTCAGTACATTATAAAAAAGAAACAAGATGCCTAGACGAGAAGGATGAGCTGGTGGTGAGATTTCTTAGGAGAAACGCCTATCTATGACAATTACAGTGCCACTCAGAGCTTTAAATCGCAAAGATCTTAGGGGCAGTCAAGATAGGTTATTTATACTCAATATTTTTGTAGATAACTTTTTGCACAATTACTTATGTCGTTGATCAATTTTAGCTTTACGTTTATCTACCTATCATAATCGCATTTGATGGAAATTGAAGATGTCCAAACGGACACGGTCGCGTTAGTCTAGGAATACCCGTTCACTTCACAAAAAGTACAGACCGTATCGGGTGGTAAAATGTATTTATACTACGTTGGTTTTAATTTTATTTTACTTTATTTATTTATTTTTGGAAGATTTACAGCAAATATATTTTTTAAATAAGTATATTTTAAGTAACAAGTGAAAGTGCTAATCATAAATCTCAACTAATGAAAATATTAGTGAAATTAATGTAATTAATCCATAACAATAATATCTCCTTCGATATAATTATATAACAAAAATGAATCGAGCATGATAAAATTCATTGTAAGCACTAATATATCGCATTTGATAAGTGTGGCAATAAAGCATAATTTACACTTGCCGCACCTTCCGGCCAAAAATAACACCAATTGCCGGCGTCGTAACATCGCCTCCTTCTGTTTTATGAATCGCTCATTTTTATCGATTTATCTTTGACATAATGCTTCTACGCACTTAGTTATAGATAAATAGTAGTAGTAGGTGTAAATCGTTTTAGTAACGTTTCATTTCGTAACCTCGTAAGACCCTGCAAACTATAATGGGAAAAACGCTAAACGCCCAATATTAAAACAACCCAAGTATAATTACATGCTTCAACCCCAATCAAGTCCTCAGTTTCTTTTTATTAAAAACGTATTTTTCTGAAAGCCCAATGGCCATAAGGCCATTAATAATCATCATCACTTAGCTTTTGAATTTGGCCCCATAGGCTTAACTAATTTTGCAATAAGAGTGCATTATTAGAAGAATTACGTCAAACCGCGAGTGTTAACCGTTTGTTCACACTTATTAAAAAACAGTCACCAGCCCAATGTATACCAATAAGAGTAAAAGAAATAAAAAGTACGAAACCTAAAAGTATTGCCGTAAGACACCAAGAATGAGCTACTTTGTTGCAAAACGCCTTTGTGTTAGAAAATAATAGTATTATTAAAAGGTCAATTAGGTTTTTTTTTATATAATACTAAGTGAGTCGACGAACAAGTCGTGCGCCTGCTGGTAAGCGATACGTCTATCCATAACAGTTGCAGTGCCACTCAGAGCCTTAAATCGCAAAGATCTTAGGGGTACTGTCACTATGCCCAACACCCTGGGACATAAGTTGACAAGTCCCATGTGCCTGTAACTATCGATCACCAACACCCTTACTCTTCCAAATCGGAACGCAGTGCTCACATTACTGTTTGGCGGTAGAAATAGGTAAGGTGGCAGTACTTCCCTGGACGAACACTTTCACAAGGAGCTCTACTGCTACTGAAAAGTATATTTAACTTCTGCTCCTAGATGGCGTTACAGCTAAAAAAGAAAGTCGTTGAAAAACCAAATACAAAGACACGACAAACAAGCACATAGAAAAATTCGTGAGGTCCGCTGGTTCGTTCCGTGGCTTAGTTGGTACAGAGTCTGCCACGGTATGCTTGAAGACGTCCAATCGAGTCCGGCCGGATCGAGGGAATTTTTTCCGAGTGTTCGATCTTTGTATTAATAATTGTAACAAACTAGTGGAGTAGTTTCACATAAAAAATAATTAAGTATCAATTCAATAAAAATGTACATTTAACTTCCTAGGGCCCAGCAACATTCAACAAGAAAAGAGCTAAACGGCCACTGTACATTAAAATGTACTAAATATAAATATTTCATTACTTTTGTATGGAAAATGTGTTTTTATAGATACGCTACGGTCATAAATAGAATATATTTCGCTAAAATTTTCACACTGCACAATTTTCATAATGCACACTGACTGTTTAGGTGATCATAGGAATAATACTCATATTACCTGGGTTTTTATTACTTCACTTAATATTCGACGTTTATATGGCAATCGTCACAGTGCCTCTTGCGATCACATGTCATGACGAAGAAAAGTTTTATATACAAGCGTTTTATGGCGTCGCGAACCACAATTGACCCTAAACTCATGGTAGAAGGACGTTATATCAAAGAATTAGGAAACCAAGACGGTAACATTTCTGGCAAACAAAAAAAAAATCAAAACTCGATTATTAGGTAGCGATATACATTTAAAGACTTATCGAGTTCCTAGGGAATTGCGATTGTTATTTATTGCTCTAGCTCGGATGGGCAGCGTTCGGGAAACTACAAAAAATCTTTGCGTCCAAATTACCTCAATGTCTCAAGACGAAAGTCTTTGACCAGTGTGTGTTACCAGTGATCACATATGGATCAGAAACGTGGTCCATCACTATGGGCCTCATAAGAAGGCTCAAGGTCATTCAGCTGGTAATGGAGAGAGCGATGCTCGGTATTTCCCTACGTGATTGAATCAGAAATGAGGAAATCCGTAGGAGAACTAAGGTAACCGACATAGCTCGAAGAATTGCTCAGCTGAAGTGGCAGTGGGCGGGGCACATACTCGTAGCTAGGAAAACCGATGACCGTTGGGGCGGAAAAGTTCTAAAATGGCGACCGCGCACAGGACGACGCTCAGTACCCACTGAGCACACGCTCAGTACACGCTCAGTGGGTAGGCCCCCCACCAGGTGGACCGACGATCTGGTGGAGGTCGCGGAAAGCCGATGGATGCGGGCAGCGCAGGACCGATCGTCGTGGAGATCGTTGGGAGAGGCCTATGCCCAGCAGTGGGCGTCGTATGACTGAATGATGATGATGATGATTTATTGCTCAATACTTTATAATTTGTAAAAATGTTTTAGAGGATGGATAAATAAAAAAAACCTATAATTTAACGACAATATAAAGTAGTTAAAAAAACTACTTACAAAAATATTGACTGATACTTGATATTAAACAACTGGTGTAAACCTATACACCTTATACATATAGAAAATGAAATAAATATATGCGATTTAGATCCGACAAAATAGTTTCATTTCCTACATTTAAAGACGTGTTCTTTAATTTTAACTCAGCCCGTAAATTATGAGTCTGACGCAATACGAAACGCGCATCGCATGTAATTGTCACAATTTGTGTAGGCGAAACCGTTTTGTTGAGTAGGTATTGTTTTATGTCCATCTATGAAGAGAGTACTCAACACTGAGCTAAGCTTCTCTTTCGCTATAAATGAGTTATGTTCAAGGTTTAGTATGAGCTGTACAATCAGGACAATTTTACGTCCTAATACAGTCTGATAGCGGATTTAGGATTTTTCTGATAGCATTTTACTGTGCTCCTTTACTTTGCGCATCAGAATACGTATGGTAAGTTGATGAGATAGGGACGGAGAGTTTCGGGCTTTCTAGTAGTATGAAGAAACGGTGAGGGTGAATCAACTTCACTTCGTAACCAACTTCATGCAGTCGATCTCGGCTGCATGAAGTCGGTTTCTAGAAGATAGATGAGAGCAAGGAGCGGGACATAGGCTAATTTTTGTCACAAGTGGGCGATGAATGTTTGAATGGAGAACATTAAAAAACTACGAAAATTTGTATAGTATGGGTATAATTATGACAGTGAATTTTAGAACATGACATAGTGTATTAGCATGTAATACCACAGCTTACTTAATAGTAATACTACCATATTGACGGTTGGAGGGAAAAAGAGGCTCAACGCGACTTTTGAAATTGTTCAGTCGACTACATTTGCAAACTTTAATAACAAACATTAAAAATCGCGTGTTAAACATTTGTCAAGTTTTATTAAAAACGGTTAACAGAAAGTGGGTGAAATCTAATAAACTGGATTCTTCCCCTAATTTAATAAAATCCCCTTAGAGGTGGGTGAGGTGAGGTATTAAATTTGCAGAATATTTTCTGCAAATTTAAATGGGACCACTACTGAGGTACCGCCTTTTCAACAAAAAAGAATCATCGAAAACGGTTCACATATGTCGGAGTAATCGCTTAATATATAGACACGTACATACATAAAACACAGGTCACTTGAGAGCACGTTTTTTTTTGAAGTCGATTCAAAATATACTCAAATCTTAGCTACTTACAAAATAGCACTAGACTTATCTACCCTTCTCTCTATCATGTGCAATTTTCATCCAGTCAGTGGACAAGAGAGGCCTATAAAGACAGACAGGAAATACAGGATTACTCAAAGCGTAAGACGATTTTAAAAGTCTTCATTGTAGGTTAGAGATCACATGATACGACCTGTGGCCTTAGAGCAATAAATTCATTAAAGTACATGAAACACTCACGCCTTGAGCGCATGCGCTAGATGGCAAAATAGTATCGTACGGATGAGAGGGGCTGCCTGCCATTGTCGTTTCAATTAAAAACAATATTATTCACAATGAAACTAAATTGACCAGTTTAATAGACTTTTGTACCTGACGTCATCTCTGTTGTAAATTTGTACTATTGTATATATAAGTTCGGTTGTTAGGAAAAAATGTTACATAAAGTCAGCTAAATTTGTTTATTTCGTCACCTTCATTTATACAAACTTTTAAGTAGACATAAAAAACGGAATTACTAGAAATAAATAATAATATGAAATCTATGATTATAAGTTTATTTTATAACCAAACAAGGATCTTCAATTATTTTTTGTGAAATTACTCCACTAGTTTGTTATAATTATTAATGCAAAGATCGTACACTTAGAAAAAAATCCTAAGATCCGGCCGGATTCGAACCGAAGTCTTCTAGCAAACCGTGCCGGACGCTAGGCCAACTAAGCCACGGAACGAACCAGCGGACCTCATGAACTTTCCTATGTGCTTGTTGTC